TCCACCTCTTCCTCCTTGTCCACCTCCTCCTCCACCTCCTCCTTCTCTACCTCCTCCACCTCCTCCTTCTCCACCTCCTCCCTTTCCTTTTACTCTACCTCCTCCTCTTACTCCTCCCCCTAGCAAACACTCAGGCATAGTTCTAGGCAATGAGGCTACAGCAATGACCAAGATGGAACCATTCCTGTACTCACAGAGCTTACATTCTAATAGGTGGAGACAAATAGAAAAAAGTGAAATAATATTAGTAGTAGTGGCAGTATTTTCAGAAACTATAAATGCTCAGAAGTTAAAACTATAGACAGTAGTTGGGGTTGGGGCTGCATTGGCAGGGATGACCATGAAGGAGGCCCAAGGGGTGCTGTTTGAACAAGGAAGATTCTGCCAGGGTATCTGGGGGGAAATCTGGAAATAGTTCAAGAAGAGTTGATGAAGGGCACAAAATCCAAAATGCCAGCATGGGCATCATAAATGAGGGACCCAGGCACAGTCCTCAACCTGATTTGCTCCCTCTTCTTGGTACCCTCCAGCCACCCAGGATCCATTCTTGAGGGCTTTCCTTTCAACATAGTGCATGCCCTGCGTGCAGGGCATCTGACCTCACTCTCAGCTCCTTGGAATCCGCCTGTCTCTCCATAACTGTCACCCATGGGAACCCGCTTTCATGTAACACACACATGAAGACCACACTGCCCTGCACACGGAGATGTCAGTAACTGGCAGACAGTCATGGCACCAGCGTTCTGCCCAGCACTTTCATTCAAGACACAGCCAGGGCTGGCATGGTGGTTTGTGTTGCATGGAAGATAGCGACACATCTTAGATTCTCAGTGGCTGGACAGGTTCTGACTCCAGAAGAGGGAAGAGCTGGGAGCCTAATTCTCTTGTATACAGTTTTTTTAATTCTGAAGAAAACATGAAAAAAGAGTTTTCTCTTTTTATTTTTTTTAAGATGGAGTCCCACTCTGTGCCCAAGCTGGAGTGCAGTGGCATAATCTCAGCTCCCTGCAACCTCTGCCTCCTGGGTTCAAGCAATTCTCCACACTCAGCCTCCTAATTAGCTGGGACTACAGGCATGTGCCACTGTGTCCAGCTAATTTTTGTATTTTTAGTAGAAACCAGGTTTCACCATGTTGGCCAGGCTGGTCTCAAACTCCTGACCTCAGGTGATCCACCCACCTCAGCCTCCCAAACTGCTGGGATTGTAGGCGTGAGTGACCGCGAGTTATCTTTTAATGGTAGAAACACTTGTAATAAATATTAAGATGTTCCTCGCATCCGGATTGAGTGAAAAGGAGGATGACATGTGTGTCTTGTCCATTGTCTCGTGCGAGCGCCATTATGACCCACTCAGTGCATACGTTGGAGGCTGAGTCCGTGGGACGGGCTACATGAGCATCAGTCTGCTGAGAGCAAGAGCAGGGTCCTGGGGGCAGAGGGGGAGCTTCCCACGCCTCAATCCAAATGCTGCAATGTGGTGATGTCCCAGAGAGAGAAGCACCAGCAGAAATTTCTGTTTTCCATCCTATGCTCTTCTTAGTGCACTCAATTAATTCCACCAGGCTCCAAGGAGGTGACCAGCTTTCTTCACATCTGGTGCTAATTACGCTAGCTGTGGAGAAATAGCTCTTTTGTTTTGAGAAACCCAAGTAAATCACTGAGGCTGATGATGATTTGCTGCTGCTTCTTGTGCTCTGCCCCCAGGGTGTGATCCCCACGTTCCGCGTCAAGTTCCTGCTGCGGCTGCTGCGTGGGAGGCTGGAGGTGGACCTGGACAAGGACAAGCTCCTCTTCAAGCACATGTGCTACGAAATGGAGAGGCTGCACAATGGCGGGGACGTCACCTTCCACGATGTCCTGAGGTACGAGGCAGGCTCTCGCAGGCCCGAGCTGGGGCCAGAAGCCACAGCTGTCAGCCTTCAAGGCCTCTGCAGCACAATTAACAAGTGGGTGTCTAACCCAAATGCCACATCTGCCGTGGCTGTGAAGCGAGGTCACGTGTCCCAGGCGCTAAGTGCCCTTCCCCGCTGTCCTGCAATATTCATTTCCAAGTAGGGGCCTCACCCGGGAGGGCTGGGAGGCCGTGGCCTGATGTCCTGAGGGGCCCCTGCCCACTGAGGTGCTCCCCGAGGGGAAAGGTGGCAGGCGCCTGGGAGAACACAGTCCCAGCCCTTCCCTGCGATGCGGGAACTGCCCGGAAGAGCTGAGTGACTTGCTTGAGGTTCCGGGCTCTGTGGCAAAGCTGGGAATACAGTACAGAGCTCCTCGCTTGCACGGGTCTGATAGGATGCCTGGGCTGCTCTGCGATGGTTGCTCCGCTGGCTGGAACACCACATATACCAGATATTTCATGAGCACCCAGACAGGACACAGGGTCAGAAGGAGTCTCTGCCTTTTCCTCTCCTTGGGAGACTTCTTTATTTGTTCCCTTGGGCTACTGTAACTTAGCATCTTAAGCTGAGGGGCTTGACAACAGAAAGTTCTGGTCTCCAAGCTCTGGATGCCGAAAGCCCGAGATTGAGGTGTTGTAGGGCTGATTCCTTCTGAGACCCATGAGGGAGAATGTGCCCCACGCCTCTCGCCTGGCTGCTGGGGATGTGCTGCCACTATTGCGTGTTTCTTGGCTTGTAGAAGCGTCCGCCGGGTCTCCCTTCAACGTCACATGGCATTCTGTGTGTGTCTGTGTGTGTGTCTCTGTGTGTCTGTGTGTCTCTGTGTTTGTGTGTCTGTATATCTAAGTTCAAATTTCACCTTTCATAAGAACATCTGTCATATTACATTAGGAATCAATCCTACTCCAGTGTGATCTCATTTTAACTTAATTACTAATTAAAACTGCAATGTTCTATTTCCAAATAAAGTTACATTCGGAGGCACTGGAGGTTAGGACTCCAACATGTTTTTCTTTGGGAGGAAACATTCAACCCATAGCAGCTTCTTAAGCAGGAGTCCAGGGATCAAACAGAGGTCTATGGACTTGCAAGGGAAAACAATTACATCTTTATTTTCACTAATCACTCCCTGAAATGCAGCATACTCTTCCATGAGGAATGCAGGCAACAAACCACAGTTGCATTTTCAATATCCACGTCTTTGTTAGCAGGAGAACTCATAGAAATTTTCAGATCACATAACCGACGTCTTAAAATATCATTTATGCTCACCGGTGCTTCCGAGTTATGGTAGTTATTTGAGGTCTACTAGATAGTATTATTTAATGGAATAATAGAGGCACTTATGTTACTATATCACTGCCATTTTGAAGTAAATAATTTGAGAATTTTATTTATTATTATACTTTAAGTTCTGGCATACGTGTGCAAAACATAGGTTTGTTACATAGGTATACACATGCCACGGTGGTTTGCTGCATTCATCACCCCATCACCTACATTAGGTATTTCTCCTGATGCTATTCCTCCCCTAGACCCCCACCACCTGCTATCCCCCTCTATCCTCCTACCCACCCCGCCGACGGGCCCCAGTGTGTGATGTTCTCCTGTCTCCACGTGTTCTCATTGTTCAACACCTAATTATAAGTGAGAACATGTGGTGTTTGGTTTTCTGTTCTTGGGTCAGTTTGCTGAGAATGATGGTTTCCAGCTTCATCCATGTTCCTGCAAAGGACATGAACTCATCCTTTTTATGGCTGTATAGTATTCCATGGTGTGTATGTGCCACATTTTCTTTATCCAGTCTATCACATTTGGGTTGGTTCCAAGTCTTTGCTATTGCGAACAGTGCCACAATAAACATGTGTGTATGTGTCTTTATAATAGAATGATTTATAATCCTTTGGGTATATACCCAGTAATGGGATTGCTGGGTCAATTGATATTTCTATTTCTAGATCCTTGAGGAATTGCTACACTGCCCTCCACAATGGTTGAACTAATTTGCACTCCCACCAACAGTGTAAAAGTGTTCCTATTTCTCCACATCCTCTCCAGCATCTGTTGTCTCCCGATTTTTTAAAGATCACCATTCTTACGGGCATGAGATGGTATCTCAATGTGGTTTTGATGTACATTTCTCTAATGACCAGTGATGATGAGCTTTTTTTCATATGTTTGTTGGCCACATAAATGTCTTCTTTTGAGAAGTGTCTGTTCATATCCTTTGCCCACTTTTTGATAGGGTTGTTTTTTTCTTGTAAATTTGTTTAAGTTCTTTGTAGATTCTGGGTATTAGTCCTTTGTCAGATGGGTAGATTGCAAAAATTTTTTCCCATTCTGTTGGTTGCCAGTTCACTCTAATGATAGTTTCTTTTGCTGTGAAGAAGCTGTGGAGTTTAATTAGATCCCATTTGTCTATTTTGGCTTTTGTTGCTATTGCTTTTGGTGTTTTAGTCATGAAGTCCTTGCCCATGCCTGTGTTCTGAAGGTCATTGCCTGGATTTTCTTCTGGGGTTTTTATGGTGTTAGGCCTTATGTTTAAATCTTTTATGCATCTGGAGTTCATTTTTTAATAAAGTCTAAGGAAGGGATCCAGTTTCAGCTTTCTGCATATGGCTAGCCAGTTTTCCCAACACCATTTATTAAATAGGAAATCCTTTCCCCATTGCTTGTTTTTGTCAGGTTTGTCAAAGATCAGATGGTTGTAGATGTGTGACATTATTTCTGAGGCCTCTGTTCTGTTCCATTGGTCTGTATCTCTGTTTTGGTACCAGTACCATGCTGTTTTGATGACTGTAGTCATATAGTATAGTTTCAAGTCAGGTAGTGTGATGCCTCCTGCTTTTTCTTTTTCTTTTTTTTTTTTTTTTTGCTTAGGATTGGTTTCCTTTGTACAATTGTGTGTTTCATTCTGTGCATTTAAAGCATTAAGAAATGTCCCATGAGCTTCACTGCCACAGGGGTCCATGCCTCAGAAAAAATTAAGAGCAAGTGACTAGCAGTAGCTATTTTAATCTCATTGCAGTACCTACAAGTAGTGTGTGGGTATTGTGTCTCAAATTTCAGGAGAACTCAGGTGTACAGAAATATGCTTGTGGCCAAAAGCTGAAGAAAAGGATCAGATCAGCACAGGAAGAATCTGGGAAAAGCTCTCTTATCAATTTCACCTCCCACTCTTCAGTTCTTTCACGAACAAGCTGAAAAACAGAAAAGGACAGGATGGAAAAATGCATGTGAATAACAAAGGATGTCATCTCTGACAGAATGTTTCTGAGTCTTTCCTCCCAGTGGCAGTTTTTTTTAGGTTGACATGAGGCAGATAGGCATACCGTTATCATTCATATTCAGCCCCTTTGGAGCACACTGGTGCAGCTAACAAAAATAGACCCAGGCAAAATCAATGGTGGGGCTGCTTTTCCCCTTCCTGTTTATTCCCCTAGCCCAGTATATGATAAAAACAATGAAGCTTTGATGAGTTTCTTGATGAGTCAGGGAGGAGAGGAAGAGAAAATGCATTTTTCCCCTCTGTGGTGGGAAGAGACTTAGCAAAGAAGATAAGGCCAATGTATCAGTGCTCTCAGGAGCCTCCATGCTATGATTTGGGTTCCAGGATGGAGCTGAGGTCACAGAAGGGGATAGCTCACAGGTGCACCAGGGTGCATGAGCCATAACCTGGGATCCTGTGGCTACTCCTGGGTGCACCACTCTGCCAGGAAAGGCTGTTTTCTCCTCTGGAGGTGGACTGCTTGGTCCAGGCCTCCTGGGAGCTGCCTTATTGCTCCATGATGCAAAACATCTGCTGTGTTAGCTTCATCTACCACTGCATGGGCTGGTTGTGTGTCAAGGGCTAAATGGGAGTGGATATTAAACCCTGGATTTGTTTCATAGCCTCTAGAATTAATAAGGAAGGCCATGTGTGGTGGCGCACACCTGTAATCCCAGCACTTTGGGAGGCCGAGGCAGGTGGATCACTTGAGGTCAGGAGTTCAAGATCAGTCTGACCAACATGGTGAAACCTCATCTCTACTAAAAATACAAAATTAGCTGGCGTGGTAGCACATGCCTGTAATCCCAGCCACTTGGGAGGCTGAGGCAGGAGAATTGCTTGAACCCAGGATGGGGAGGTTGCAATGAGCTTAGATCGTGCCATTGCACTCCAGCCTGGGCAACAAGAGCAAAACTCCATCTCAAAAAAATAAAATTAAATTAATAAGGAAGATAAAGAAGGATGGATGAGATAAACAGAGAAGGAATGGAATGCAGGGGGTAAGGATGTGTGATACACAGCTGAGCAAATTAACCATCACCACATGTGGCTAAGTGTGAAGAAAGTATGGGATGTGGGGTTTCCCTTTTGCAGGGAAAGTCCCGAGTCTTTACCTAGCCTGGATCTTTTATTTTACAGGCACTCAGATGGCACTTACTGCTATAAGAGTCTCACAGATATCAACTCACTTAGTCATTAAATAAAGTAGTTACTAGGACTATCTTTATTTTACAGACAAGGGAAGGGAGACACAGAGAAGTGACAGGACCGGCCCAACACACACGAGGGTGAGGGATGGCGTCAAAACGCTAGACTCATTAGATTGAGTGATATCCTTTCTGGATTTTGACACATGTAAGTGTGTAAATCTCAGGTGAATCAGAGCTGTGATTGCAGGTGTGTTTCCCTCACCAGCATGCTTTCTTACCGGTCCGTGGACATCCGGAAGAGCTTGCAGCTGGAGGAGCTCCTGGCAAGGGAGCAGCTGGAGTACACCATCGAGGAGGAGGTGGCCAAGCAGACCATCCGCATGTGGCTCAAGAAGTGCCTCAAGCGCATCAGAGCTGTGAGTGAACTGCACCTATGCGGGTTGGGTCCCCGCCCCACCACGAAAAAGGAGGGATGAAAGAAAAGCGCTTCATGAGCGTGGGATTAGCTCCCTCTGTGATCAGCCTTCTATCCCTTTAAACTATGTCCACTTCCTCCACTTACAGTGGTCAGATCATGACGCAGACTTTCACTCTAGTCCAGTTAGCCCTGCCCTCTTTAGCAGAGTCCATTAGAAGTGTCCATGGAATCCCATTTTTATAATATGACATGAAGACTTTAAAAGCAGTTTATTGGCCAGGCTCAGTGGCTCATGCCTCTAATCCCAGCACTTTGGGAGATCAAGAGGATGGCTCACTTGAGGCCAGGAGTTGGAGACCAGCCTGCCAACATAGCAAAATCCCATCTCTACTAAAAATACAAAAGTTAACTGGGTATGGTGCACATGCCTGTAATCCCCACTACTCAGGAGGCTGATGCAGGAGAATCACCTGAACCTGGGAGGTAGAGGTTGCAGTGAGCTGAGAAAGTGCCACTGTACTCCAGCCTGGGGGACACAGTGAGACTCTATCTCAAAAAAAAAAAAAAGGCAGTTTATTGATATTAAAATATTTATGATGTCCATTTATTAAACTCAACTGTACGAAATTCTAAAATTTTCCACACATCAAATTTGTAAAACTTTTAAATTGCTGCTAAAAATTTCAACAAACCATGATAATGTTTATTCTGAAAAGACTGCCTCTCAGGATTAATGATGTTTCCTGCTTCCTGAATTATCAGCCTGTAAGATTATCTAACTCAAAAATTAATGAATGTATACGTCATTGGCATATACTGTGTTTACAGTGAATGCTTCTATGAGATAATTACTTTTATGAATGCTTTTGACACGTTTCACATTTGGGGGAAAAAAGAAATCACTAAACATTTATATATAAAAGAGATCGTTTTAATCCTCTTTCTCAGAGCAACAACATCAATTGCAGAAACGTGTATTTCTATTGGAGGAGAAAAAGGTCCCAGAGAAAAGATACAACTCAACCTCCTAGAGCAAGGCCAGCTGCCCAGTGATGTCCTGTCACTGCCGGCCACTATAGCTATGTTGTTAGCTCCAGGGATCAACCTGTCCTCCTCCGGCTCTGAGAGGCCACAAGGAGCCCTGGCTTCAGTATATTCCAAGACAGACTGGACTCCTGGCTTGGCCTGAAAACTTCAGAACAAAGACAAGAACAAAGGTTTTCTCTTCCACCCGAGGCTCTCTGCCTCTTACAACGTGCGGCAAAGTGGGAGAAGGGTTGGCGTTGTATTGGCTTAATTAGCCTAGAATAAAATAAGAAGAGAAAAATAGGATAGCTGTGTTAGTACTTTAAAACACAAGCTGGGCACAGTGGCTCATGCCTGTAATCCCAGCACTTTGGGAGACTGAAGCAGGAAGATCACTTAAGACCAGAAGTTTTAGACTAGCCTGGGAAATAGAGTGAGACTTCTTCTTTCTAAAAGAACTGGGAAGGCAATGCATACATCTCCAAGCCCACATTTGCATCAGCCTCCCTTAATTGAACATTGAGATTACTTCAGGATCCTTATTTGGACATTCCTAAGGGGTCACCGATCATGCAGGTCTTTGGAGAGGGGAGAAGAAAATATGATTTGTGTGGCGGTGGGGCGGGCAGGATGCTGGGCTTACTTTACTGAACAAACAATCGCATTTCCACAGAAACAGCAGCAGTCGTGCAGTATCATCCACAGCCTGAGAGAGAGTCAGCAGCAAGAGCTGAGCCGGTTTCTGAACCCACCCAGCATCGAGACCACCCAGCCCAGTGAGGACGCAAACGCCAATAGTCAGGACAACAGCATGCAACCCGAGGTATGGGCACGAGCCGTCCTTCAGCCCAGGACACTCCTTGGGCTTCCTTCTTTTAGTAAAAAAAAAAAAAAAAAAAAAAAAAAAAAAAAAAAAAAA